GTTAGTAGCAGGAGTGAGGGGCGCAACCCTGGGAGGGCTCCCTTCCTGCCCTTTCTGGCTGGCAGGTCTCTGTGTATCCCCAGATACTAGACTTGCACAGTTGCAGACTCAGCACAAACCCTAGATCTGGCACAGGCTAGCCCCGTGAGCCCAGGGGAAGTCATTTCAAAATACTGTGCCTGAGCATCTGTACCAAGGTGGGTACCATCCTGGGCACTTGGCATATATCCCCTCAACCAGTCCTCCCAACAACTTCGAAGAAGTTACCGCGATCCCATTTCACAGACAAGGGAACAGGATTAGAGAAAGGAATGGGGGTACGTGGGTAGCAGCCTTTGAATCAAAGTCTGTTCGATTCCAAATTCTTTCTTCATTTTTTAAGAAAGGTTCCTTATTTGAAAGAAGAAAAGTTACATATTAATTTCAAGCAGAGAGATGACAGTATCACAGAGAGCTTAGAAAAGAGAGATACACAGACATGTGCCTTCGCCACAATGGCTTCTGATCTCCCTTCCTCCCCCGCAAGGAAGCAATGTCCTCAAGCCGGCAAGGATGCTTTTTTGTAGATACCCGCAAACAATATGTACTGTACCACTGTTTTTTGTTTTCCAACCATATAAATAGAATATTGTACTATATTTATTCTTTGCAACTAGCTTTTTCTAGTTTTTTTTTTTTAATTGAGATACAGTTGACATATAACCTTGTGTAAGTTTGAGGTGTGCGCTGTGCTAGTTTGAGACATTTGATACAAATTGCGGTGATTATAGTATTGTAATAATGGGATTCTTATAGTAGGTTCAGCAAATGCCTTTATCAGGTCACCTCATTACTTCTTTTCTGTATTGTGAACACTTAAGATCTAGCTTCTTTACAACTTGGAAGTTTATAATGCAGTAATGTTGACTATAATCTCTATGTTCTGCATTCGAGCTCCAGAATTTACTTATTTACCTACCAGTGGCCCACTTAGTTTTACGTGTCTTGATTTATCCATGTTGATGCACACGGATTTGTATCATTAACCTTTATTGTTATATAGTATTCGTGGTATGAATAAGTCAAAAGCTTTGTGTCCACTGCCCTGCTGAGGGTAAAACAGACTATCTTATAAATGTAACATCCTGATTGGAAACATGTTCAAGAATTTCCCCACCCTATACAGTCCCACAAATTAAGCTGCTTGGTCCCAGGACGTGCACGCTCTCATCGTTACCAGGAATCTCAAGCTGGTCCCTATACTGACTGACCAACCGACCTCTTCTTTCTATTATCCCACACTCAACTTTCCAAGCCCTGCTTTGCTGATCAAGAAAGTACAATACAGACAACTGCCTCTGAGGGTTAGAGTGAGAGCCTGGACAGAGAGAAACATGCCCCAGACCATCAAATGTAAAGTGTGAACAGCAGCATCATACTGACGGCGGTCACTCGGGATGACAGCTGCCGTCACCACTGCCAGCCTGTACGCTTCCATCTTCTCAAAGTCTCTGTTTAGAAAGCACCTCCACTAAAAAGCACTGATTCTTCACTACTCTTAGTAGAAGTTTTTTTTTTTTTTAATGAATGACTAGATATTTTAGACTGATGTCCATTTTATTTTATTATTATTTTTAAGATCTTATTTATTTGAGAGAGAGAGCGCGCACAAGCAGGGGGAGCAGCAGGTAGAGGGAGAGGGAGACGCAGACTCCTGCTGAGCAAGGAGCCTGATGTGGGGCTTGATCCTAGGACCCTGAGATCGTGACCTGAGCCAAAGGGAGATGGTTAACCGACTGAGCCACCCAAGCACCCCTCGTTAGAAGTTTATAAAACATTAAATTATTTTAAAAATTCTATGATGTAAGCAAATAATTAATGCCATCTAATTGCATTCCATTTGTCTCATGCAAGTGTGACCGCCCTCTTAACTTGAATGCAGACAAAGACCGAGACATTGAAGATAGGCTGTTTGTGCAGAAGACACTCAGTACTGCTTGGTACAACTAACAGTGAGTAGTTACTGAACACTTACTAAGTACCCAACTGTTCTCGGCACCGGAGAGCCAACTGCATGACAGGCACCGTGCGAAATGCTTACTTGCCTTACTCGATCCTTACAACAACCAAATGTGGTTAAAAACTCTGACTCTTGGGGCGCCTGGGTGGCCCAGCAGGTTAAGCCTCTGCTTTTGGCTCAGGTCATGATCTCAGGGTCTTGAGATTGAGCCGGACATTGGGCTCCGCTCAGCAGGGAGCCTGCTTCTCCCTCTCCCTCTGCCTGTCTGTCTACTTGTGATCTCTCTCTCTGTCAAATAAATAAATAAAATCTTTAAAAACAACAACAACAACAACAACAAAAACTCTGACTGTTGTCCTTTCATGAACCAAGGCCCACAGAGATTATGAACCCTGTACAAATTCATAGACTACTGTGAGGCGGAGCCAGGATTTAAACCCCGGCAGTCTGATTTCAGAACCTGTGATACTAACAACATACTATGCTTTCTCTCTCACTGCTTACTGAGTGCGTTTTGCCTTACACATAAGGTGGGAGTTCAAAGACCTCACTCTGGGCATATTTATATCCACAGAGCAAGCATTCCTTATTTTTATGGCTAGACTAAAATGTTACACACTATTTTTGGAGGCAATTTCCCATAATGGTTTGAAATACAGGTGCTGGAACTAAAACTAAAGGAAAAGTAAGAACCCAGAGAGGTAAGCAGAACATAGATGTTTCTCCCCCAGGGCGTGTGTGCATACTGCAATTCTGATCTTTGGTTTTGATAAAGAGGACAGGTTTCAAAGCCCAGGACTGCCAAAGTGGAAAGTCTAACAGAACTCCCATCTCACATTAAAAACTCCCAGCGGGCTACAATGATTAAGTAAGAATGAATCAGAGCCTTGTGAATTCTTAGCTCTGCTGGTCTGGGACACTGTATTTAAAGTACTCTGGACATGCAATGTGCCTTGGTACCCAGCACTAAACACTGAGAGGAAGTAACTTAACATCTAGGCTTTATATTATTCTTATTTTTAAAGATTTTATGTATTTATTTGACAAAGAGAGAGAGCACAAGTAGGGGGAGCAGCAGATGGAGGGAGAGGGAGAAGCAGGCTCCTTGCCAAGCAGAAAGCCTGATGAGGGGCTCAATCCCAGTACCCTGGGATCATGACCTGAGCTGAAGGCAGATGCTTAGCTGACTGAGCCACCCAGGTGCCCCTAGGCTTTATATTATTAATGCAGACAGTTACTAAGGAAAAAAAAAAAAAAAAGGAGCACTTAATCAAAGAAAACCAAACATAAGAGATAGCATCAGGGACAACCAGAAGATAACAGACAGAATAAAGGGACCCAAAAAGACTACAGAGACTAGAATTATCAACTATATAGCAACTCTGCCTACAACATTAAAAAAAATAAAAAAAGGCGAAGCATGACATTACATGCAGGTAATAGGAAGTTATAAAGAGTGATCTAGCAGATTTGAAAAGAAATGAACTGACCTAGAAATGAAAAATATAGTAACAAATTTACTCTCAGCAGAATGAGAGAACTAAAAACTCAATAAGCAGACAGAAGAAATGATCTAGAATATAGCTTGGAGGGGCAAGGAGAGAATACAATCAATTACGACATGTTTAATAATTAGTACACGTTTAATCATAATTCTAGAGAAAGAACAGGGCAGACGCAAAATTGTAACAAGAGTATCTGAGGATTTTTACGGACCTGATGGCAGATACCAATCCACAGACTTAAGCAAGCCAACAAGTCCCAGGCAAGATAAAGAAAGAGAGATCTGCACCTAGACACATCAGAATGAAGCTACAAAACATCATTAAGAGTAAAGTCTGAAAAGCAGTGAGAATGGAAAAAGAACATTACTTTCAAAGAAACAGATGGCGGTTGACTTCTCCGCAGCAACAATGAAACTGGAAGACCGTGGAATAACATCTTCAATGTGTTGAGGAAAAAATGCATTTGTCTTTGAAAACATCTCTCAGGAATAAGATGAAATAAAGACATTTTCAGGCAAGCAAAATCTAAGGACTTGCCAACAGCAGGTCTTTACTAAAGGAAATTCTAAACTAGCGATTCTCCAATGTTCTGGTCTTAGGGACCGCTTTACATTCTTAAAAATGACTGAAAAACCCAAAGAACTTGTGCTTATGTGCACTGTATCTGTCAATATTTGCCATATTAAAAATCAAAACTGAGAATTTTTTAAAAATTAGTGATTCATTCATTCATTCATTTATTTTAAGATTTTATTTATTTATCTGACAGATAAGTAGACAGATAAGTAGGCAGAGAGGCAGGCAGAGAGAGAGGGGGAAGCAGGCTCCCTGCTGAGCAGAGAGCCCAATGTGGGGCTCGATCCCAGGACCCTGGGATCATGACCTGAGCCGAAGGCAGAGGCTTAACCCACTGAGCCACCCAGGTGCCCCTTAGTAATTCATTTAAAAGAAAGAATAACAAAGCCATTACATGTTAACGGATAACATTTTTTACAAAAACAATTTGGGAGAAGACTAACACTAGGCTTTATACTTTTGCAAATCTCCTGAATGTATGCGTGTAACTTCAGAGGGGAGGAGTGTGTTAATGGCCTTTACAGATAATTATGTAAATTCTTCAATACCGCACCAAAATGCAGTGAGTGATAGTTTCTTAAGTTAGTTGCTATGTACACTCTGAAACCGTATCGCTAATAAGCTTTCCACATTGTGTTACATTAAAATTCACTGAACAGCTAGCGCTCTGAATAGTTCTTTTACCCACACAGGGTTTTATAACATCATGCACTGGTTTGTAATACTGGTTCATGGACTTATGCAGATCTTCCAAATATTTACACATTTCATTGCACAATATTAAAATCTCACACTTGGTGTTACCATCACCTCATCAAAATTGCCCTGGAGTACCGAGGAGCTGTCAACTTGGAATGTGTTTTCCAAAACTCTAATTTTTACTTAAAAGTTGCCATTTTGCCCCAGCTTGCCTGCCCGCCATGGCCGACAAGGAAGCAGCCTTTGATGACGCAGTAGAAGAACGTGTGATCAACGAAGAGTACAAAATACGGAAAAAGAACACCCCTTTTCTTTATGATTTGGTGATGACCCATGCCCTGGAGTTGCCTAGCCTAACTGCGCAGTGGCTTCCAGATGTAACCAGACCAGAAGGGAAAGACTTCAGCATTCATGGACTTGTCCTGGGAACACACGCGTCCGATGAACAGAACCATCTTGTGATGGCCAGTGTGCAGCTCCCTGACAATGATGCTCAGTTTGAGGCTTCACACTACGACGGTGAGAAAGGAGAGTCTGGATGCTTCACACTATGACGGTGAGAAAGGAGAGTCTGGATGCTTTACACTACGACGGTGAGAAAGGAGAGTTTGGAGGTTTTGGCTCAGTTAGTGGAAAAACTGAAATAGAAATCAAGATCAACCATGAAGGAGAAGTAAACCCGGCACATTATATGCCCCAGAACCCTTGCATCATTGCGACAAAGACTCCATCCACTGATGTTCTTGTTTTTGACTATACAAAACATCCTTCCAAACCAGACCTTCTGGAGAGTGCAACCCAGACTTGCGTCTCCGTGGACATCAGAAGGAAGGCTATGGACTTTCTTGGAACCCAAATCTCAGTGGGCACTTACTTAGTGCTTCAGACAACCACACCATCTGTCTCTGGGACATCAGTGCTGTTCCAAAGGAAGGAAAAGTTGTGGACGCGAAGACCGTCTTTACAGGGCATACAGTAGTAGTAGATGTTTCCTGGCGTCTGCTCCATGAGTCTCTGTTTGGGTCAGTTGCTGATGATCAGAAACTTATGATCTGGGAGACTCGTTCAAATAATACTTCCAAACCAAGCCACTCAGTTGATGCTCACACTGCTGAAGTGAACTGCCTATCTTTCAATCCTTACAGTGAGTTCATTCTGGCCACAGGATCAGCCGACAAGACTGTTGCCTTGTGGGATCTGAGAAATCTGAAACTTAAGTTGCATTCCTTTGAATCACATAAGGATGAAATATTCCAGGTTCAGTGGTCGCCTCACAATGAGACCATTTTGGCTTCCAGTGGTACTGATCGCAGACTGAATGTTTGGGATTTAAATAAAATTGGAGAGGAACAATCCCCGGAAGATGCAGAAGATGGGCCACCAGAATTGCTGTTTGTTCATGGTGGTCACACTGCTGAGATATCTGATTTCTCTGGGAATCCCAATGAACCTTGGGTGATTTGTTCTGTATCAGAAAACAATTATCATGCAAGTGTGGCAAATGGCAGAGAACATTTACAATGATGAAGATCCTAAAGGAAGCGTGGATACAGAAGGACAAGGGTCCTAGATATGTCTGCACTTCTTGTGATTTTAGACTCCCCTTTTTTTCCCTCTCAACCCTTTGATGGATTTAACACTGGTTTTGAGACACAGACTTTGTTTGGCTATCCCTCTATGATAGGTACCATCAACGATGTTACTAGCCCAAACAGAGGGTGTTTTCTAAATATTAACTGGGGGACTTGATTCAGTAAAGCCACAGACTTATATTTAAATATTCTTCAGGAATTTTCTAGTAACAAAGGTCTAAAGTAGCCACAGAAAGGGGAATATTGGGTGTGGTTCTTTTTCTTCTTAGGCCATATCCCCAAGTTTTACAGACTCCTTTTAAGTAAAGGCTAAAGTGAGGAAGGATAGAGCCAAGTGAGGTAGGTGTCTGAGCCATGAAGTATAAATACCACAAGATGTCGTTTTTATTCAGGAAATGGGGGAGATTCAAGTCATATAAATTCCTATTCTAAAGTTTTCACACCTGACTTTGCAGGATGCACATTTCCCTATGTAGAACAGTCTCCTTTCAGTTTCTTCAAATAAGTCAAAACTATGTGTTCCTCTTTCCCCATATATTTTTGCTTGTTAGTGTATTTCTTGAGCTGTTTTAATATTTCTTTCCTTTCTGTGAAATAGTTTTTTTTTAAAACTTGGGACCACCAAGTTGTAAAGATGTATTTTTTACCTGACAGTCATACCACAGGTAGACTGTCCAGTTGAGTTGAGAAGAGTGAATTGATAGCTTGTATTTGTTTTTAAAATTAAATTAATCCTGGATAAGAGTTGCCTTTTTTTTTTTTAAGGACCACTAGTCTGGTACCATCTCTATTTTGGGTGACCTGTTTCACCAGCAGGCCTGTTACTCTCCATGACTAACTGTGTAAGTGCTTATAATGGAATAAATTGCTTTTCTACTTAAAAAAAAAAAAAGTTGCCATTTTATCATTTATGACAAATATTCACAGGTATCTTCCTTGAAGCAACGGGTTTCCTTTGTTCATTTCTGAGGAAACGTTGGCCGAATATCCAAGTTTGAATAACCATCGTTTGTTACTTGCTCTTTCAAGTAAAAATGGCGTCTTGAGAAAGGCTGCTGGTGGAGCTTGCAACTTAAATAATCACACAAATGCTTTCTTTCCCTCAAGACAATGATCATAATTTAGCGTGGAGAAAGAGTGTGTCATTAGGGCTTCCTACTTCATTGCTATCCACTCTGACGCGCAAACTACCGAAAAGCTGGATATTCTGAGGGCCCGTGCATCACCCTGAGCACCTCTTTTCTAGAAGAACTTCAGGAAAAGGAAGGGGATCCCGTCAAGTCTGAGATGCAAGGAAGAGTGATAACATGCTGGTGAAGTTACGCAGACACTGACTAAAGGAAACAATAATAATATTATGGCATTATTTAAAAAAGATAAAATACACGGAACCAATAATACATAAACCAGCAGGGGATGAACAGAGCTAAAGTCCTTTAATGCACTTCTATTATCTGGAAGGAGGTCTAAAGGTATTAAATTTAAAATGCGGTAATTTCTAGATAACTATGTAAAGATTAGGAATGAGGTATATGTGTAACTTCTAAACTAGCAGGAAGAAAAATGGAATGTTTAAACAAAATAACCAGGGGTGCCTGGGTGGCTCAGTGGGTTAAACTGCTGCCTTCGGCTCGAGTCATGATCTCGGGGTCCTGGGATCGAGTCCCGCATCAGGCTCTCTGCTCGGCAGGGAGCCTGCTTCCCTCTCTCTCTCTGCCTGCCTCTCTGTCTACTTGTGATCTCTGTCAGAAAAATAAATAAAATCTTTAAAAAAAAAAAACAAAACAAAATAACCAATCTGATAGAAGGAAAGGAGAAACCTAGCATAAGACACATAGAAAATCCAAAATAAGGGGGATTGTACCTCTAAAGATCAGTGATTCTCTCACGTAAATGCTCTGAACAATTTACTTGTCAGACTGGGTAGAGCAGGGAAACCGAACAGGACGCTATTTGTAAGAGGCACATGTGGAAACAGAGCAGTGGAAAGGCTGGGGGAACTGGCCAGCAAACGAGGCACGCGGACATAAGGAAACATGACAGCACACAAAACACACTGCAAGGCAAGAACTACCAGTGGTAATGAAGGTTTCCTCATAATGATAAAAGGTCCCAACGTGCCAGGAAGATACGACAATTTAAAACTGCACTGCACCTAGAAACGTATCCTTAAAACATATAAAGCAAAACTGACAGAACTGTAAGAAACAGACGAATCCACAAGTGTAATTGGGGATTTCAGGGTATTTACCTGGAACTGACAGAGTAGGAAGTCAAAAAACTAGTAAAGGGACACCTGGGTGGCTCTGTCAGTTAAGCATCTGCTTTCGGCTCAGGTCATGATCCCAGGGTTCGGCCAGGGATCAAGTCCCACACCAGGCTCCTTGCTCAGCGGGGAGCCTGCTTCTCCCTCTGCCTGTAGCTCCCCCTGCTTGTGACCTCTCACTCTCTGACAAGTGAATACATAAAAATCTTTAAAATCAAAACAAAAGGAAAATAGTAAAGAGGAGCCCCAGGTTGGCTCAGTTGGTTAAGCATCTGCCTTCGGCTTGGGTCATGATCCTGGGGTCTTAGGATTGAGCCCCACATGGTACTCCCTGCTTAGTGGGGAGTCTGCTCCTCCCTCTCCCTCTGCCCCTCCCCCTGGGTCCCCCACCCCTCTGCCTCTCTCCTCTCTCACTCACTGTCTCTCTCAAATGAATAAAATCTAAAAACAAAACGAAACAAAAAAACCCAGTAACAATATATAAGGTTTGAACAAAATAACAAAAATAACAAAACTGACCCAATCGACATTTTAAACTCTGTATTCAACAAATACAGATTCTTTATTCTTTTCAAAAACACTCCAAAAAAAAACCTGAGCAAACAATTCCCATAAGGCCGAAGAGTAATTTGAATAGTCTGTACACATACATGCTTGTTACCCTGGCTATGCTAGGTGCTCCTCAAAGAAATGTAGGGTCTTTTTCTTTCTGTATCCCCAGCACCTAACCCGGTAACTGGCACTTGTAACCAACTCATACATCTGAACATATTTAATTTTATTAAACAAAAGCTGGTCCTGCAAGTAGTGATTTTCTAGAAATGATACATTCAGGGAATTTTCCTAGCCAACAAAAATTACAGGAAAAAAACCTGTGGAGTCATATGCACTACGATGTGGGAAGAAAGACGGACAAAGGACAGGAGAGGAAAACGTGGGGTGTCAGTAAAGCCAGGGGGAGAAAATGCAGAGAAATACCAGACAGGTTAGGAGGGTGGGGGAGACCCAGGCACCTGTGGTTGTTGGTTCCACAGAGCTGATGGGCGGGAGATGGGGGCGAACAGGAGGAAGACAGGAAGAAGCAGCAGCTTTGTGATCTGTGAGGACCAGAGGTGGAAATACACCGGAAATCTAAGATATCAACCAGAGGAGGCTACTGGAGGGAAGGACGTTTTCGGTCTCCTACCTACTCACAGGAATGATGGGTGGGGACTTACAAAAGGACATGCAGAGAATCTGTTCCTCTGATTACCACTTTGTTTCAAAGTCACTATTAGCTATTCCAGTGGAAAAATGTTTGCTGGAGGTAATAGCTGAACCTATTACCTAAACTCCTCTTTGGGTATTCACGTGATCTAACATCTAACACGTGATCATCTAATGTGATCTATGACAATGATCATACAAAACTGAGAGCTAGCTTTGTTTGAATTGTAAGACGGAAAAAAAATAACTCAAATTACAGGGTGTATCTTAGATCATAAATTCTGAAGGGATTAAATATTTGGTAGAAGAAAACATAAAACCATTAAAATACCCTAACAGACAAGTAAACATATGTTTTTAATCTTGGGCTAGAAGAGGATTTTCTAAGTATCTCCGCAAACGTAGAAACCATAAAAGGAAACACTGATTTGATTGTGTAAAAATCATAAATATCATACACAAAATACCATAAAATATCTTAAGCAAAGGCAAAAGACAAAACGGAGGAAAATCATTTGCAATGTACATGATAGAAAGTTCAGTTCCCATGATATAAAGAGTTCCTTCAAATCAAAACCAAGAAGACAAACATTCTCACTAAAACACGAGCAAAGGACGCAAGCCGGTGACACGAAAGAAACAAAAACCACCAACAGGGAAAAAAAGTTCTACAGCCAAAGAAATGAATGTGAAAACAACAATAAAATACATTTTTGGGGGCGCCTGGGTGGCTCAGTGGGTTAAGCCTCTGCCTTCGGCTCAGGTCATGATCCCAGGGTCCTGGGATCGAGTCCCGCATCGGGCTCTCTGCTCAGCAGGGAGCCTGCTTCCCCCTCTCTCTCTCTGCCTCTCTGCCTACTTGTGATCTGTCTGTCAAATAAATAAATAAAATCTTTTAAAAAAAAAAATAAATAAAATACATTTTTGGATACAGATTAAAAAGATTTCAAGATGGGGGAGTGGGAGGGATGGTTGTACAGCCCTTCTAAATGGTTACCAAAACCTTAAAAATGTACTAGTCCGGAGCAGCAACTCCATGTGTAGAAAGCGATCCTGAGGAAATAAGTAGACAACTATGCAAAGATACGGGTAAAGAATATTATTTATAGCATTGTTTATCACTGCAAAAAATCCCCAATACTACAATGACTATAGTTTAAAATACCCCCAAATGGGGCACCTGGATGGCTCAGTGGGTTAAAGCCTCTGCCTTCGGCTCAGGTTATGATCTCAGAGTCCTGGGACCGAGCCCCGCATCGGGCTCTCTGCTCAGCGGGGAGCCTGCTTCCTCCTCTCTCTCTGCCTGCCTCTCTGCCTACTTGTGATCTCTGTCTGTCAAATAAATAAATAAATAAAATAAAATAAAATAAATAAAATACCCCCAAATAGGGGATCGATTAAAGAAATGAAGATAAACAAAATGGCACTGTTATCTGAAGAGGTGACACACACACACACATAGATGATGTTTACCCCCCGGAAACTTACAGAGAGTATGCATAAGAGAACCCAATTTTTGTAAGAAAAAAAAAAGCAAGTAAGAATGCACGAGT